TTCAGCTCGTAAAGCTTCTTAAGGAGCCGAACATGAGCTGTTCGCGAACACTCATGTGGCCTCAATGTTACTGAATCTACATACCTAACACCCAAATTTTAATATTTACATGCATTTCACTCAAATCTTTAATATCACATCAAAATGTATCACCATGACCACTTTTTAAAAGTGAAATACACCTTTTTTTATGCATAGATTTATTGCACCTTAGTGCTGTAAACGTAAATGTGAAAGTTTAAGTGTTACATATGTAAATATAGAAGAATTGTGTGGTATGCATGCAAACTTCCCTGAAATTTAAGTTTTTTTTATAGGATTATCTTGAACACCTTATTCCTAGAAGTACATATTACCCATTATGGGCCTCTTCTGTTCAATTCAGTGTGCATTTTTTTTCCCATCTATTGAATTTAAAAATAAAAAAGTTGGCACGTCTCCAGGTTTCCAGCACAGGTTGGGCGGAAGGCGAATGCAGAGGGAACGCAGGCTGGTTTCCTCTCGGACATATTGAGCGAAGGGAGCGTGTCCTTGCAAGCAAAATATTAAAAGTCTAGCCAAACATATATATATATATATAATTTGAATTGGTTACAGAAAGATAAATATGATGAAAATATTTGAGATTATGAAATATTCATGACATTGTATACATGGTTACATGATTAAATTTCATTCTTGTTTTCCAATTTTAGATGCGTTGAGATTACAAAATGGCTATTAGATGAGAAAATATTACGTTCGTCATTCGGACGGGCGAAAGACGACATAGATCGCACTATGTCGTGCGGTCGGTTGTGTGATGTGATCCATGTTGTCGACCGTATGTCTGGTTTATGGGACGTAATATTTTCTCTTATAAGACTGGCTTAGACAAATACTTTGAAGAAAAATCTAATAGCTTGTGAACATACTAGTATCATAAATATTTGAGTTGCATCTCTCCTATTATAATTAATTTATATTTGGGCCTTCAAAATGAAAGATTGAGACCATTCCCTTGTTGTGGTATTTGAATTAGAAGCATGTATGTTATCATATTATTATGATTTGGATGATTACATATAGACCGCCCAAAAATTTGATATTTATCAATCAAGCACTCAGGTAATTTTGTGAGCTATCGGACTCGTGCATTTATTCATGCCACAATTAAACCATTGAGAATTTGATAAAATAAAAAATATGCGTTCGAGTCTTACAATAATGTTATTTGAGTGAGAATTTAAAAAATGGATGAAAGAGAATGATCGTTCTGTAAATAACAAAGTTTCGGGTGCTTTGTATGTGATTGTTTCTTATTTTAAAAAAAAAAAATCAAGGGAAATTTAAATTATACTACACAATTCTTATGTATTTGTCTATCTAGTACTCAAAGTTTGGGAAAATTATTGCATCAGATGTCCAATAACAGAGGGTCGCATGATAATTTTGGCCCAGTGGCATACACAGTTCGGGCCCGAGTTGCCACATGGCACCTAATTATTGGACATCATCAGGTGTCCTGATACAATAAATTCTCCAAAATTTGATATGCGTACTACACTTCGATATCATAATGCGTGAAAATGTGCAGTGATTGTGGTGTTTTGTTTTTATGTAATTTTAAGGATTTGAATAATATATGTATGCGAATAAGAATGTTTAGGTGTTAATTAAATAATTAATTTTTTAATTACCATTTGAAAGTTTATATGGTCTATATATATTTCTTCTTTATGAATGTTTTTTTATCGAATGGGATTTGCGATTTCGATTAGTAAATTTTCTCTCAGACCTTATATATGCTATGCTAGTAATCGTCAAAATATATGTCAATAATTAAATGAATTTAATAAAATTGAGTTATTTCGTATAACATAATCGTGTGATTAACTCAATTAAGCGTGTGATTAACGATCACGATGAGAAAATTAAGACTGTTAATACAAACAAACATTAAAAATGGGTTTTTTACATAAGAAATTAGGAGTTAATTAAAAAACGTATGTATTATATTAAATAGAAAAGTGCATGTAATCTTTGAGAACTTTAATGAAAAATAATCAATTAATACAATCTTAAAATACATAGTAAGCTGCTAAATTTATTATCATAAAACTATTTATTAAATGAAGCTTTAATATTATTCTAAGCTCATTTGATCAACACTAATTTGTTAAAGTATCATAAATGAATCTTAGGGTCCGTTTGAGACAGTTTATTTGTTGTGATGACGTTTTGAAAACGCACATGACCTGTTTGGTAAACTGTGTTTTGACAGCTTATGCATTTTCAAAACGCTGAAAGCAGTGTTTTCACACATAGGTGCGGTGCAGTGCGATGATAGCTTTCTGGCAGCGGTCTGACTTTTAAAAAAAAATAAAAATTTATAATAGCCACCGCATCTAACTTATCAGCAGATTATTTAACAAGCTTAGCTGTCCCAAACAAACCCTAGTCAAGTCAATAAAACATATAAGGGCATTTACCTACATACCACACCATTCTTATGTATTTACAAATCTAACACCTAAACTTTCATATTTACATACAAAAGACTCAAATTTTGATCATCACATAAAACTATATATTTTTTTATTTATAACTTTATAACATTAAAGTATTATAAATGTAAATATTAAATTTTAGGTGTTACATAAATACCCAAAAAAAAATTTTGTGGTATGTATGTAAATTTCCAATAAATCAGTTGCATTTCCCTTCCCGGAATATGAGAGGCGCCTTGTTGTCCACGACGACGAATACCTCAATCCACTTTCTTCTTCTTCGGACCACCGCCGTTCCGTCTCCGATTCCCCATCGCCGCCGATTCACCCACCGGAATCCACCAATAGAAGAATACGCATCCCTCAAAGCCACCGCATCGAGCCCTCGGATGGAGTCTATCATGAAGAACGGCGGCGGCAACGAGACCAAGCAGAGTGAGGAGAAAGAGGGATCACCAACCCATCAACCGCATGAATGCTCTTCTCTCTCGTCGGATCAGCCTCCACAGCCGCCGGAGAAGCCTGAACCAGGCGATTGCTGTGGGAACGGCTGCTTCCCTTGCGTTTGGGATTCGTATTACGAAGAACTTGAAGCTTATACGAAGAATCTCGAAGCCTACAACGATAGAGTCTCTTCCCAGAAATCATGAGCGCATTTGCGGTGCTGTGAAGGTGACTCGTTTTGATTACACTTTGAAATCATACTTGACTTCTAAAAATTTATGGTTCATTACACTATAAGTTCCTTTTCTGGGGGAATTGATATTTTTCTTTTGTTTTTTTTTTATTTTTTGATGGGCCGATCAGCTTGTTATTTTTGGATCGACCTCGAAATCTATGTTCTAAAAATTTGAATTGATTGTAATATTTCGTATTGGATGTTAACTACAACTAGTTGCACAGTTGATTGAACAGCATGTCGGGTGAATTTGTTGAATTTTCAGTAGGAATAAATGACTGGAAAGGGCCCGTAAAAATTTATTGAATATAATGTAGTTATCATGTTTTTCTTTTTTTTTTAAATGAGAGAATCAGTGATTTTGTTTGGATTTTAATCTTTCTTTCGGTTTCTTTTGCCCAATTAGTTTGATGTGCTCGTTTTTTTTTAAAAAAAAATTAACTGCAAATGGAGGTTGTTTAGGCTATTTTCTTTTTGAGGACATTTGCGTACATACCACCCAATTCCTATGTATTGACATATCTAACGCCTAAACTGATACCGGGAAAAAGGTAAAATAGGAATCTGCACTTCGGAAAATCCAAAAAAAACAGGATAAAGTTTGGACCAAAAATCCCAAGGTAAGAATGCAAAAACTATAATGAATGAAGGTTGATCACCACCTGTGTGCTACTCCAGGATATTGAATCGCCACTCCAGGATATTGAATGCACTTATTAACCTGGAAAGATCAATACTCTCCATCCTTAGCCCATACAAAAAAACCTCAATTTATAGATGCTAGACTCTCCTAATTACAAGTATGTCATCCTAAAACATAGACACAACAACAAACTGAAACACACATAACAAGACATACTAACTGAAATAAAACTATAGCTCCCGCTTCATTCTCTCGAGGTTGGCAACATTCCCTCATATTGAACAATCTCAGAATTTGATTCCTAATGGGCAGCCAACTTGGTGCATTGAAAAACATTAGAATCGCTCTAATCTTCAAGTAGGTTAAGTTTACTGATCCAAGCATCTTCTAACATCGAATCTTCAAATCCATCCTTTTTTGGAACTAAGATAACCATAACCGCGCACGAGCTAGCACTTTGTCACCCCAAGCCTTTGTGATTCAGCTCATCCATTTGGTGTTGAAGTTCCTTGTGCTATTTTGGAGACATTCTATATACAAGTTTGTTGGGGATGATCGAATCACGCACGAGGTCAATGACATGTTGTACCTCTCTCATAGGAGGCAATCCTGCAGGCATCTCTGTCGGAAATGTCTTTGAACTATTGTATCAATCTCTGTATTTCGGAAGGAATTGTAGGCAGCTGTCCGGAACTCTCAATTATGATAAAGAGGTACTTCATAGTTGTCTCTTTAAGATCTTTCAAAAACAATGGAAGAGTAAAAGTGTGTTGTGATATATACCAATTGTTGTGGTATATGTATAGAAATAAAATAGGAGAACGATCTTTGCCGAAGCGAAAAAATAAATCGAAAAAATAGAACGAGAAAATTCACACTATAAAATAGTAACACAACAGAACACAAAGATTTACGTGGTTCGACAAATTGCCTACGTCCACGGAGTTACAATGGATTTTACTACTTGTGGAATTTACACCAGTCGATTGTCTCAACTTACAAGAGGAATTTCTCCCCTCGTTGTTCTCTTCTTCTCTCTCTACACCGAGATACACCAAAGAATATAAACTTATAAGAGAAATAAACTCAAGTTCTCTTCTGCCACAAGTCACCAAGAAGAAGCCAAGAGAAAACAATCTTCTTCTTCTTCTTTCTTCTTCATTCTACGCAAGGAATTACTGCTTACACTTCTTTTCATCTGTCCCGAGGAAATCCGAAGAAGAACACAAAAAATCGTGACTTCGAAACCAAAGGAGAGCTGTTGTGATGCCTTTTACAAGATACCTGGCGCGGGAACAGTTGAGCGGGGCAAAGAGAACAGAAGAGCGTTGGCGCCGATTCGCGAAATGGGAGGAGGAGCAGGAGCGGGAGCGGGACTTGCGATATTCGTGATCAGGAGGCGGGAGCGGGATATCGAACCATGCTCCACACTAATAAATCTTTCACTTTGAGATCGGTACACCTGCTACAACGTCTTCTTCCTCGAATTAATATTCTCCACTGGCGTCGTCTTACTTTTTCTTTAAACGTGAATCTTCCACCTCTGCAACTCAAAGCCCTGTCTTCACACCAGAAGACCAACTGAAGTTGTGCAAGTTGTGCACAACTTCAGTTTCTCAAGAGTAACACCCTTAGTCAACATATCAACGGGGTCCACATAGCCTTACACCTCTAAGCTATTTCCTAGGTTACTATTGTCTCTGCTTACAACTCCCACTGCATGGGCAATATCCTGTCTCTGCTAAAAACCTTTTCCAACAAGTCTAACCCTGCACCTCTTATTGTCATCAAGCTCAGTTTTCACCCAGTACACTCACTTTTTGTGTAATGTATTCTTCTCTGGTGTAAGTTTTGTCAGCTCCCACTTGCTCGAACTTTCATCTTGCAAGATTTCTTCATAGCTCTGTGGTTCTCCACCATCTGTCTGTGGAACAATAGGAATGAGTGTCCCGAACTCACTCTCCTCTTCACTTCCATCATTAACAGAATTATGAACTGCCAACAATAGTTCATCCTGTACTCTTTCAGATACCATATTTGCGCTATCATTCTCCATCTTCTTGGGATTCCTGCAGTTTCTCTTTATGTGGAAACCTTGCCACAATTCCAGCAGGTTGTCTACTGATCATATTTTGATTTTGATCTCCCTCTATTTGAGTTCATGTCCTATCATCTCTCTCTGAAATCAACATTCAGTGCCGAACTCGTACCTGAGATCTCACCAAAATCTTTCCTGCGCACTTTCTTGGCTAGAATCTTTCTTGCGCACCTTCTTAGTCAAAATTAAATCACAAATATCATCACATTTCAATTTAGATTTACCTGCAGAACTACTAATTTTCATCCTCATGGCTTCCCAACTATTTGACAACGATGCCAACAATATTAGCGCATGTATCTCATCATCAAAATCAATTTCAACAGACGACAATTGATTTGTGATAGTATTGAAATTATTCAGATGTTGAGCAATAGAAACATCTTCCGTCATCTTCAAATTGAATAACTTCTTCATTAAGTACACTTTGTTATTCGCCGATGGATTTGCATACATACCTGATAAGGCTGCCAACAGATCTGCAGTCATCCTCTCCTTGACGACGTTGTGTGCAATGGACCTGGATAGGGTCAGTCGAATAACCCTCAGAACTTGTCAATCCAACAGATTTCATTCAGCCTCATCCATTCTTTCAGGTCTTTTTTCCCAATAACGAAAGATAAAGTTTATTTCCATAGAGGCAGTCTTCTATCTGCATCCTCCAATAACCAAAATTTGTGTCATCAAATTTCTCGATCCCTGAAACCTTCACCTCATCTGCAGCCATCAGTCTTTCTTAAATCTGAAACACGGCTCTGATACCAGTTGTTGTGGTATCTATATAGAAATAAAATAGGAATGATCTTTGATGAAGCGAAAAAATAGAACGAGAAAATTCACACCAGAAAATAGTAACACAGCGGAACACACAGATTTACGTGGTTCGGCAAATTGCCTACGTCCACGAAGTTGCAAAGGATTTTTATACTTGAGGAACTAGTCGATCGTCTCGAATTATAAGAGGAATCTTTCAGTTCGTTGTTCTCTCTTCTTTTCTCTCTATACTGAGATACACCAAAGAAAATAAACCTAGAAGAGAAATAAACTCAATTTCTCTTTTGCCACAAGCCACCAAGAAGAAGTCGAGGGAGAACAATCTTCTTCTTCTTCTTTCTTCTTCCTTCTGCCGCAAGGAACTACTGCTTGTACTTCTGTTCCTCTGTCCCGCGGAAGTCCGAAGAAGAACACAAAAATCGTGACTTAGAAACCAAAGCAGAGTCGCTGCGATGTCTTTTATCGCAAAACCAAGCGCGGGAACAGTTGAGCAGGGCGAAGCAAAGTTTCGCTTCGCGAAACAGGAGTGGGAGCGGGAGCAGGATTTGCGATATTTGCGATCGGGAGGCGGGAATGGGAAATCGAACCGGGCTCCACACTAACAAAAGTGTTGATTTCAATCCCCGTCTGAATCTCCTCCTTCATAAACACCAAAGTGGTTTGAATTCCCTCTTTGATAAAGGAATAAGTGTTAGCATGCCTATAATGTATTGTACGACAGTCATATTGCCCAGGCCGACCAAGCAATATGTGGCAAGCGTTCATAGAAATTACATCACATAAAACATGCTCCCGAAGTTTCTGATCAATCGAAAATGACATCATGCATTGTTGATTTAGGGTCTGTTTGGGACAGCTGCAGCTTATTCAGCTTCTGCTGATAAGCAGCTTATTCTGATAATCTGCTGATGAGCAGCTGATCCGGATAAGCTATCTGGTTATTTGGTTAGTGCGTTTGGAAAACAGCTGATTCTGTAAATTGATCATTCTGCCCTTGTTTTGAATAAGTTGTTTAGCTGTTTGGTTAGTGCGTTTTGTAAACAGCTTATTTGCAAATTTTTTTAGTTGAATGAATAATCTGTGTCGCAGAATGTTATTTTCTCAAATGTCAAGAAATGAAAATGCAAAAAAGTTTAATAATATTTATATAACTCAAAAAAGTTGTGATTACATCAAAAAAACATGGTGACATATATGAAAGTTCAGTACACATTTATGAAACACTAATATGAATTATAATAAGACCCAAAAAAAAAGAAAAAATAACATGTTAAAATTACAAGGAAAAAATGACAATATTGAGTTTAACATGTAAAATCACATCATGACGAATGTTGCCCGGTTCTGATACCT